TAAAAGCTTCAATAAAATAGCCCTCCCCGAATACAAGACCTCTACTTCAGTAAGAAAGCCATTTTATTAAAAAGTAATAAAAGTAGAAAAAAATATCATTCCACGGATTGGTAATAGCTTCTAGAGCGAGTCCGATAGCTTCTAAAGTATTGTCGGCAATTGGATTATGCAGTTCTGGGCCGCGACGGAGAGCGTGACTGTGTCGAGTTCGGTCACTGCGGCTGGATTATCTATGAATCCACACGATTGCTTCATTGCCCGCAACGATGTCTTCGTAGAGTCGTTTCTGAAGAGATGGAGGACATGACCGACGATAAAAGCTGATGTGTTCAATATTAAGTACGACCGAGATCCTTAGATGATATTGCCCTTCTAGGACTAGCAAAGATTAGAAGGCCTTCCCCGAATAGTTGGCTGTTCAACCAGCTTCGAATAAATACAAGACCGGCTTATATTCGGGTAAATTCGTTGATAATAACAACGCGTTTACACAGCCATTTCGCATCATGGCAGACGCGAACTCGGACGTCGCCGCGCCTGTGGTGGTGACCACACTGCCGTCCATGAATCCTCCGCTGTTCTTCGAGATCGTGGAGGAACAGGTGTACCGCTCCAACAAGTGCGATGCGTCGTCCTTCCCGTTCCTGGCCACGCTGCAGCTCAACACGGTGGTGTATCTCTCATACGACGATCTCTCGCGTGATCTGGCCGCCTTCTTCGCCGAGAAGGAGATCAACGTGGTGCGTACCAATACACTCAAAGCAGTGATCAGCAAATGCTAAGAGTATATGGAGAGCAGATCCACTTGGGCATGAAGTATCGCACTGCGTCATCCCAATGGAAGGGTATTTCAGAAGGAATGGCTAAAGAGACCATCGAGTGCATCCTGGATCAGAGACGACACCCCATTCTGGTCATGTGCAAGTGCGACATATAAACTTTGGGTTTGTTTTGGCGATAGATCCTCATTGAGTTTTGATGTGGCTGTAGGACTGGTGTGCATTTTGCTGGCACAATGATCGGCTGTCTGCGCCGTCTGCAAAACTGGAGCTTGACGTCGACAATTGACAAGGCGAGTAGATGTTTGAAGTGTCAGAGCTGGTGCTGCTGACTAAAACCTGATGATGAATGGTGTGCAGTATCGTAACATTGCAGGCAGTGTCAAAACTCGCTTCGAGAACGAGCAGTTTATAGAGCTATTTGACGTCGACTTGGTCACTCTGCCGCAGCAACTGCCGTCGTGGTTTACTGTCCACCAACGACTCACGGTATGACACTAAAGGCATTTTCTGTGATTGCAAGCGTGCTGATATTGTGTGGGCGTGCAGGAAGAGGAGCGGATTGCGCTGACCAGGGGCGAGTTTTTCCCCGGACGAACTCCTGACAAAGTCGAAGAACTACCGCCACCCCAACAGGATGAGTCAGAGACTAAGGCAGACGAGGAGCATCGTTCAGAGGCAGAGGAAACACCGACAGAAGCAGGAGAACCTCCCGTGCTGGCGTACCAGAAGTATTTCTTCTATCTACAAGGTCCATTGGTATCTTCGTCTGTCAAGTTCTCAGAGAAGAAGAGTATTATTGGCGACGATGACGATGATTAGGCATTAGCAAACCCCTGTCTGTATTATTGACCACCACCAGCATAAAGTCGATCGAAAAATGCAAAGCGATGCTGACACAAATCTACAAAGTCAAGGGTAGCAACCTCGTGGAGTGCTTAGGTCAGGTCCTGAGCGACATCGACCTCTCCAACAATGCTCTCCTTGATACGTAGCAGCAGCGTAATCTTCCATGGTTCAATCTTGGAGATTGTGTCGAACTGGAAGACGGCGTCAGCGAACGCGTCGGCATTGAAAGCCTCGTAACTCTGGTTCATGGCCTGCAGGAACTTGCCTTCACGGCTGTCTGCGAAGGTGTAGTCGATATCCTGGAATTCCTCCCACTTCATCTGTACGAGCACCATGTCCTTGGTGGCCAGTGCGCAAATACCAGCGTTAAGAAGGTGGTTCTTGGCGTTAAACTTGAGCAAGTTCGACTCCATCGAAGTCTTCGCGATACTCTCGTAGATCTCCAACGCCGCGTCGTACCTGCATAAATAAATTAATCGCCAATTCTCTACTCTAATAAAATCTAAGTCGTCACTCACTTTTCCAGTTCAGCTGAGAACTGTGCCACCTTGAGCATCATATTGTTGGCAGAAGACGACTGGTTCTCTCCAGAGAAGTAGTCGGCAGCCTGGCGGTAAGCTTCAAGTGCTTCCTCCTTGTTGTCCTGCTGTTCGTAGATCTCGCCGATCTGCTTCTGCAGCTTAGCAGCGTTCGAGAAGCGACCGGCGTCGCACAGCATCGAGATGGCCGTCTTGAAGTGAACCATGGCATCTGCACAGCAGCAACAACAACGTGGTTAGTCAGTTCCAGTCATCGCATTCTTCTACGTGCAGCACTCACCCATGGGGTTCACCTTGGCTAGAGCCTCCGCTGCCTGTTGATAGAACTGGGCTGCACGCGAACTCTCATTCAAACGAGACTGCAACAACAACAACAACAAAAAGCACAGTATTAGTCTCCAGCAGTTTTGGAGCGTATTCGTCCGCTTAAAACGCACTTGGCACCGCGCGCATCTCTCGTAAGCCTCAGCAGCCTTTTGCCCTACATCGTAGAAGTAATAATTATGTTTGTTAGCTGCAGCAGGGAATAATAATTAGGTTATGTGCGACGCGTACAGTTCTTGGCGATCTTGAACTGGTTGCCGGCCTTCTCGAAGAGGTCACTGGCGTCCTCATGGCGCTGCGAGCTCGAGCCGAAAGAGAAGAAGGACGACTTCTTCAGCGCCTTCTCGCCCTGCGCCAGGTACTCGTTGGCCTTGGCTTCGGCGGACATAGCGAACTGATTCTTCCGTCCTCGTGCCAAAAGTGGTATTATTCCCCCAAAGCTAACGCCTTTTCTTCTTTCTAGCAGGGAGGCTGGCTACGCGAAATGCCTCACGCTTGGCTTGGCTAAAGCACTTTTCCTGAAAAAAA